AGATCGGCTGGGCATAAAGGCTTAGTTGATCGAAGTCATTGGTTTTCCCCCAGGATGTGGATGCTGCCTACATGAATAAGGTTGACCTGCAAGCCAAGGTAGATGGTCTTACAGATGAGATCAATTTCCTGAAAGTCTTCTATGATGCAGTAAGTATCTCTAGCCCATTTTATTTAGTCTAGTATGGTTCAGCAAGGAGTGGGAAGTTCTTGAGTTGGGATCTCCTATGAATGTCTCTGGAAAAGATGATCTTACAGTCTTATATTGTGCAGGAACTGTCTCAAATGCAAACACACATCTCAGACACATCTGTGGTCCTGTCCATGGACAACAACCGCAATCTGGACCTGGACAGCATCATTGCCGAAGTCAAGGCTCAATATGAGGAGATAGCTCAGAGAAGCCGGGCTGAGGCCGAGTCCTGGTACCAGACCAAGGTGAGCAGTGAGTCAGTAGTGAGGAATCGCCATGCCCCTCATTTAGGTCCAGTCAGGTTACAACTTCATTTGGGAAATGTATTTGCAGAAATTGGGGTTATCTCACAGGATGTGCATGTTTGCACAGTTAGAGTAGATATTTACATAATTTATGCCCAAGTCTAATGAGTAAAATAATCATACCATCAAGGAGTAGGGAATCAGAGTTTCTAGATTTCTAGATTCATTCTGAATGTTGTCTTTCGAAACACTGTAAAGAATATCAAAGTCTAGAAAAGAACAAGGCCATCAGTGATCCCATAATAAGGATGTCTTGTGATTCAGTTGTACTATATTTATGTGAATTTTTGCTCCATTCCTTTGATGAAAAACCATTGGGTTTGAGATCTTCAAATGTCTGACTAAGAATTGAAAGTCACTGTCACCATGGGAAAACTCACATACACTGTCTCTCTCCCTTGATACCACAGTATGAGGAGCTTCAGGTCATGGCAGGCAGACATGGGGATGACCTGCGCAGCACCAAGCAGGAAATTTCTGAGATCAACCGCATGATCCAGAGGCTGAGGTCTGAGATCGACCACGTCAAGAAGCAGGTATGGTGAAGGCAGGTCAATGATGAGGAAAGGCAATATTTCCTTCCCAGACCATTAGACAGGCAGTCATCAACCATCATTGGCAAGTTCCTGGGCACTGGGTGAACAGCAGGGGAGAGGAGAAGATGCAGTGGCTGCCCTGAGAGAGTATTATTGATTAGAAAAGAGGTTTTAACCCAAAAGTTGGATACAAACGTGGATAGAAATAGTCTCACCTGCTCAAAAAATAAAGGTCAGAGGCAATCAAATAAGATTTACACAAATAGAATAATTGATTTGGAAATTGCAAAGTAACATGTTGGGAAGGAAGAACACAAAAATCCTAAGGAATATTGTTGCAAATGCTCTCAAGATTTTACATGAAAAGGAAAGTGGAGCAAAACGGAGGATAAAGAGCATTGTTGCCTACATGTGTGAGATTGAGAGGTGGGAGAAGGCAAGATTGTAAGAGTCAGATGTGCAAAACCATTACCTCAATTTAAGATGTTTGTAATTGTGTATAAGTTAATGTGGCATCCACATGAAATCTTAAAAAGGGTCCCATTTCGATTTTATAGACAAGACTACAAAATAAATAATTAAAAAACCCAAACTCACTGCCATCGAGTTGATTCCAACTTATAGCAACCCCCACTGGGTTTCCAAGGTAGTAAATCCTTATGGGAGTAGATTGCCCAGTCTTCCTTATGTGGAGTGGCTGCTGGGTTTGAACCGCCAACTTTCTGGTTAGCAGTCAAATGCCTTAGGCACTACATCATCAGAGATCCTACAAAATAAATAATGGGGACTCTTTTTTCCAATGTCCCTTGGTCTTAAGTCCACTGTAGTGTCATTCATCAATCACTATCCACTCTCAAGGAAAGTGATTAGCATGAAAACGGATGGATTTTTGTTAAGTCGTTCCCCAACTTTATAAGACAGGAAAGGACAGATAGGAACAGTCTTCAATTCTGGGATGTAAAATTCTTAACACTGGGAAAGAAAATTAACTCGGTTAGTCTGCTCTGAAGAACAAGATTACAAGGTATTTCTGCTTATTTTCCCCCTCTAGTGTGCCAACTTGCAGGCTGCTATTGCTGATGCTGAGCAGCGTGGGGAGATGGCCCTCAAGGATGCCCAGAACAAGCTAACAGAGCTGGAAGATGCCCTGCAGAAGGCCAAGCAGGACATGGCCCGGATGCTGAAGGAGTATCAGGAGCTAATGAACACCAAGCTGGCCCTGGATGTGGAGATCGCTACCTACAGGAAGCTGTTGGAAGGCGAGGAGTGCAGGTGGGTAACTCATACAAGTTTCCCAAATTTCCAGGTATAATCTAAGATGTCTAGTCCATAAGCACAATTTTAACACAATCTGGTCATGGCTATACTGCCATTCTTGGAAAACAATCAAAAGGATCCTTTCTCAATGGAGTGTTCCTTAGATAGAGCATCCCACACTGATCCAGGTAATGGATTCCTGAGGTCTCACCTTCCCTGTATTTCCTCTCCTCCTAGGTTGAATGGGGAAGGTGTTGGACAAGTAAACATCTGTAAGTACCTTTGCATGCTTTCCTGCCTTATCTTTGTTTTTATGCTTGGATTCACAGTAGAAGATGGAGTCTGACCATGCATCATCCTTTCCTTGTTCTCCTCCCTCACAGCTGTGGTGCAGTCCACCGTCTCCAGTGGCTATGGCAGCTCCAGTGGTGTCAGTGGTGGCTTAGGCCTGGGTGGAGGCAGCAGCTACTCCTATGGCGGTGGTCACAGCCTTGGAGGTGGCTTCAGTTCTGGCAGTGGCAGAGGCATTGGAGGTGGCCTCAGCTCCTCTGGCGGCAGCAGTTCCACCATCAAATACACCACCACCTCATCCTCCAGCAGGAAGAGCTACAACCACTGAAGTTCTACCACCAGCTCAAGTTCCACAATGTCTCAGGCTCCTCCCCTGCTTCTCCTCTACTGCCCCCTGGTCTTCTCTTAGTCTCTGATTTAGAGCTGATGTTTCCTAGTTCTCCTTTCATCTCTTTGCCTACATCTACCCCACATGAACTTCCTTTACTTACCATCAGAATGTTAAACTCTGATTTCACATCATAATTTAACCACTTGTGATGCTTCACTTTGTACTAAATTATCAATCTCTTGCCTCCAATGTCCTGCATCGGAGGCTGACCATTTCAAGAGAATTCCCTTTGCCACTATTAATCATAGAAACTCAGTCTGGATTATAGTCTAGAACAGGACAACTTTTCCTTGATCTCCATTGGCCCAAGTTTCCCATCTTCAAGTGTTGTGGTCCTCCCTTGAAGTGGCCATGAAAACACAGGTGATGATTTCTATGATGTACAGAGTCTGTATCCCTATGATGTTTTCTCTGCACTTTGCTCTTTTGTAATTACTAAATAAAGCAGATTTATAATATCTTTCATTGTTTAGGATTTCTTTGTCTTGGCAACAATGGCTCTTAAGTTTTTCATCTCATAAGATAAGTCATTTTTGAGAGATATCCCAAATCCACATGTGCCTCATTCCCTTCTTTCACAAATTTAACAAACAGTAATTTGTTATTGTAATGCTCAGAGTTCCATCTCAGATCAGATCGCATCCTATATATTGGCAAGTGGAATGGAAGAGATCTCGGCCACCATCATTGTGTATTCTCATTTTATTGTCCATAAACCAAAACCAAACCAAACTCACTGCCATCAAGTCAGATTCAACTCATAAGCACCCTCCTTGGGTTTCCGTGGCAGTATCACTACAGAGGTCAATTGCCAAATCTTCCTTCCGAGGAGTGGCTGGTGAGTTTGAACCAGCAGCCTTAGTGTTCATACCATGTTACATTATATTTTTCCCTCTGCTTGGTCTCAGAGGCCACTCTGTTCCCTCTCCTATGGGTCACCCTTAATTTCCAGTTGAAAAAACATATCCCTGGCCAATCAAAATGAAAAAGCATTTGACAAGAGAATGGAATGTTTGATTTTTACTTAGAATTTCCATCCTGATCAATAAACTTATCTGACAACATGTACCCATGAGCATTTAAAATAAACATACTTTTGAATTATACTTCTCAAAACATATCCTGAGGAAATTGTACAAATGCAGAGAGATACGTATCACATATCTTCCAATCTTCACCACTGGAAAAAATTGGAAGCACTAGAGTGGATCAAATTAAATACACTCAGACACAGAATTAAAAATGCTAATTTCTTGAAGTGTGAAAGCAACCAAGAAAGGAATGCAAATCAATTCCCTCTCCCTCACACTCTAAGTAACTGAAGCAGCTCTGGACCTCTCATGGACACCCAGTAACAGCTGGGTCTGTATTGCTCAGAAGGGATGGTCCATACTCTCCTACACATGTGATCTGGCCTTGTTTGACTTCTATGATCTGTCACCTTGTATGGCTCTGGGTCCACAGCACTCCATTGTTTCTCCCAGGAGGGACAATTATCCCCCTAGCCCCCTGCCTCTAATATCACAAGAGAAATTTTCTAGGATCAACTAATTTATAGAGGGTATTTCTGGATCCTGCTCTATCAATATCCTGTTGTGTTCACCCCTAACCATTTCCCTGGCAACATGGGCAGCCTCTTACATTGCCACCTCTTTACTTTCCTCACAGAACTTCTCCAATATCAGATAGGTGATGACTAGCTTCTGAAATTTAAGGCCACTTACAACACACATTTTTATGTACCAGTGAGGAATAATGGAAAGGAAAATAACTGAGAAGGAAAATTATATAGACTATAGCAATGGATCAGGAACCCTGGTAGCATAGTGCCTAAGGCACTTGACTGCTAACCAGTAGGCTGGAAGTTCAAACCCACCAGCCACTCCTTGGAAGGAAGATGGGGCAATCTACTTCCATAGTGATACTGCCTCGGAAATTCAAGGAGGGGTCTCTATGAGTCAGGTCCGACTCGATGGCACATAACAACAACAAAACATAGCAATGGATCAGTCAGGATTCTCTAGAGAAACAGAACCAGTAATAATTATGAGAAATAATCATCAATGGATGCCAAAATCTTTGATAAAAATTTTATGTTGTATATTAGTACAGATTCCTCAAGGGATCTGGCTGAAACTGCACTGGTTCACTGATCAATCTTAACCTCATTAATATTATGTGCCTTATGATATGTTACAATAGAGAAGATATAGCAGAAGCTATGACACAATTGTGCCTGGAACAATTGAACTAATCTAATAAAGCCTTTAATACAACTAGTATATATGAAATTTTGTTGGATTGGGGATAGAAAAAGTTAAGTGACACCAACAGAGAATAATAAGCCAATTCTAAAATGCAAACATTCTATTAAAAACAAATTTATCTACTATTTACTGGTATAAAAAAGAAAGGGCTCTGGTATAGAATAAATGAATCTTAAGAAACCAGTCACAAGCAATATGTGAACCTGGCATGGATGTTGCTTGAAGCAAACCAGTCACAAAAAAAAAAAAAAAAAAAAAAATCTTTTAGATAAGCAGAGATTTTTTAATGCCCTATCCCCAGGTATGGGAGCTCTGGTAGCATAGTGCCTAAAGCACTTGACTGCTAACCAGAAGGCTGGCAGTTCAAACCCACCAGCCACTCCTCAGAAGGAAGATGGGGCAATCTACTTCCATAGTGATACTGCCTCTAAAACCCAAGGAGGGGTCGCTATGAGTCAGGTTCAACTCGACGGCACATGACAACAACAAACAACAACAACATCCCCAGCTACATTTTGAGCTTCTGAAGACAAGAATAGACACTTCACCAAAGAGGATATTCAGGTGGCCAACAAATACATGAAGAAATGTTCATGATCATTAGCCATCAGAGAGATGCAAATCCAAACAATGAGAACCCATCTCACACTGATACTAATGGCAAAGTTCAACAAAACAGAAAATAACAAATGCTGGTGAGGATGTGGAGAGATTGGGACTCTCATATACTGCTGGTGGGACTGTAAAATGATATAAACACTGGGAAAGCAGTATGATGATTCCTTAAAAAGCTAGAATTAGAAACACTATTTAACCCAGCAATCCCATTACTAGGTATATATCCTAAATCTTGGCCACCATCATTGTATACTCTCATTTTATTGTCCATAAACCAAAACCAAACCAGCCAGGTCAAGAACATCCATGTTCATCACAGCACTATTTACAATAGCAAAAAGATTGAAACAACCTAGGTGCCCACCAACAAAAGAATGGATAACCAAACTAAGGTCATACACGCAATGGAACACTATGCAACATTAAGAATAATGTAGAATCTGCAAAACACTGCATAACATGGATGAACTTGGAGGACATTATGCTGAGTGAAATAAGTCAATCACAGAAGGGCAAACATAGTATTAGTTAATCATTGTAAAAAGTCAAGGAAAGGTTTACATGTGGAAGGAAACTTTCTTTGTTAGTTAACAGGGTGGGAGGGGAGGGGCGGGACTGAAAAAAAATGCATTGACTCATGTCACTTTAGTTTTGTATATTTCACTCTCTGTAAATTATATTTCAATAAAATGTATTGTTTAAAAAAAAAATCCTTCTGAAATCAGGTGCCTTGCTCCCAACACAGTTTGAGCAGGCAAGAACTTTTTCCAGGTCTGGATACCTTGCCCCCAGACCTCTTCTTGATCAATAAGAACTCTTCTGAGATCAGGTGACCTGCTCTAGTTCCCTTCTTGGCAGGCAAGAACTAGTAGGAGGACTAGACCAAGTGCCTTGTTTCCCATTGACTGGCCAGCAGAAACAGAGAGCAAGTTGCTGACAGCCCTCCACCCCCCCCCCATTTTGTTAAAGGAAATTATTCTTTTTTTCTTCTTCTTTCCTTCCATTCTATTTATTTTTTCTCTTTCCTTTCCCTGGTTCTTGTTTTTTATTTTATTCCCTTTTCCCGGTTCCCTTCTTTTTTCTTTCTTTTTCTCTTTTGGTTCCTCCCATCCCTTGGTTGTCTTTTTGCATTTTTCTCATTTTTTCCTTATTATTCTTTTACTCTTGCTTTCTTCTCTTATTCCTCTATCCTCAGATATTGTGAAGTTTTCTTCTCATTGTCCTATTTTTCTTTTTTTACTTTTCTTTTACTGCTTTTCTATTTTCTTTTGTGAGTGTTGTTGTTGTTTATGTGGTTTGTTCTTCTCTTGGTGTTTTTTTTTTTTTTTGGGGGGGTGGTTCTTTCTTTTAATCTAACCAGGTGGGAGATAGCAACTTGCCCACAAGACCAAACCATACTCACCTCTTGAAGCCCCACCCATTAGGTGAAGGCCACCATTGTTTCTGTACCAACTGATCAATGATAGATGGCAGCCAAGACCAACCCAACCCTTCATAAACAGCTAACAGAGATCTATACACACACTCTCATCTTCTATCACAGCCACAGGGAGACAGGTGGTGAGTGCCAACATACTACCAGATTAGCAAATATAAATATAAATACAATGAAATCACAATGTCTAAGAGACAACTGACCATCCCTGTTCACACAAAGAAGCAAGATAAAGTAGTACAAACAAGGGACCAGGAATCAGACACAGGAAACTTCCCTAAAGAGAAGTGGCACTGGAACTACCTGATAAGGAATTCAAAATAATTGTATTTAGATACCTTCAATGGATTGAGAAATAGATCAAAGAAAATACTGACAAAATTAAGGAAAACACACAAAACTCTAGAGCAATTTAGGAAAACAATACAAGAACAAACTGACAATGTAAATGAAAAATTAGAAACCATTCAAAAACAAGAAAAAATGGTTTGTTTTTTAATCAAGAAGACAAACACCAAGATTTCTAAAATAGATTATGTATTGAATGGGCAAAGGATAAGATTTGAATTAATGGAAGAAAGAATTAGTGAGATTGAAGATATAAGCTTTAGGAGCTC